TGATAATTTGTTTAGGTATGAAGAAAATGTAAAAGAGTGTAAAAAACTTATGAAAGAATTTTTTGTTATGAATATGCAAAAGGGCACATCTATGGAAATAGTATGGGATGCAAGCAAAGCATATATGTGAGGAATTTTGATATATTTGAACAATAAATACAGAAAGAAACGGGGGCAAAAAGAAAAGAATTAGAAGATGAGATAAGTAAACAGGAACGGGCTTTAATAGCCAATCCAACAGATAAGAAAATCAAAGAGGCAATCAATTTATTGAAAGGTCAATTTAATATGTTAATAGCAGATCAAGTGGCAACTAATTTGCGATACGCAAAACATAATACTTTTTATAATGCCAATAAACCAGGCAGGTGGTTAGCATATTTGTTAAGGAAAAAGCAAAAATCAAGGACAATAGAGAAAATAAAATATAAGGGTAAAGAGGTTTATGAGCAACAACTGATTAAAAAATCTTTTTTAGAGTTTTATTCGAGGCTGTATACTGGTGATAAAATTAAAGATATAGATATAGACAGCTATTTGCAGAAAGAGAATATTTATACAATTTCAAATGAGCAGAGGGATAGTTTAAATCAATTGATAACTTCCGAGGAAATTGTGTTAGCAATTAAGCAGTTGAAAGTGGGTAAAGCTCCTGGGACGGACAGTTTGACAGCTATTTATTATAAAACTCTACAGGAGGAAATGGTAGAACCATTGAAAGAATTATTTAACAATATACAACAGGGAGGAGAGGTACCTCCAACTTGGAAGACAGCATTTATCTCGTTGATCCCAAAAGAAAGGCATGATGATACAGATCCTAAAAATTATAGGCCGATTTCATTATTAAATACAGACTATAAGATATTTGCTAAAATTTTGGCAAATAGATTAATGATAGTAATGCAGCAAATGATTCACCATGATCAAACTGGTTTTATAAACGGTAGACAAATGAAGAGTAATGTAAGGCAAATTGTTAATTTATTAGAGTATCTGGGAAGGAACAACCAGGTCCCCACAGTGCTAGTGTTTTTGGATGCTGAGAAAGCCTTTGATAGATTGAATTGGCAATTTTTACTAAAATTAATAGAAAGGATGCAATTTGGAGAACAATTTGTACAATCTATTAAGGCAATATATCAAAAACAAACGGTGCAAATAATAGTTAATGGTGGTTTAACAGATGCTTTTAACATAGAAAAAGGAACAAGGCAAGGTTGTCCCTTGTCTCCGTTATTGTTTGTTTTGACGCTGGAAATTTTATTAAACAAGATACGCAAGATGAATACAGTAAAGGGAATTAAAATTAGACAGCATGAGTACAAGTTACGAGCATTTGCGGATGACCTGGTTGTTACCTTAACCCAACCGGTACAATCGATTACAGCCTTGATGGATATAACCTGCTTATATGGACATGTATCTGGTTTTAAAATAAATGCAGCTAAAACAAAAATAATAGCTAAAAATATGGTTAGGAGCCAAAAGGAAGAGATAGAAAGGTTAACAGGATTTGAAGTAGTTAAGAAGGTTAAATATCTGGGGGTTTATATTATGACTGTAAATATGAAATTATATCAGTACAACTATGAACCATTATGGCACAAAATACAGAAAGAGATGGACAACTGGAAAAAACTACAACTGTCTTTGCTGGGAAGGATAGCCGCTGTAAAAATGAATATTTTACCAAAATTTTTATTTCTTTTTCAAATGATACCTATACTTAAAAAAGATGAAAACTTGAAGGAATGGCAGAAGGGCATAAATAAATTTGTGTGGGCAGGGAAGAAACCATGAGTTAAACAAAAGATATTGCAAGATACTCATGAAAGAGGTGGCCTTAAGATGCCCAATTTAAGACTGTACTATGAAGCCGCTGCCCTCTCAGCAATCACAGACTGGATAAACCTAATGGAGGAAGAGATATTGAATATTGAAGGATATGGTTTGGTATATGGCTGGCATGCTTACTTAGTGTATGACAAGAAAGTAGATAAGACTTTTAAAAGTCATATATTAAAAAATGCTCTATCGCGTGTCTGGAAAAAGTATAAATATAAATTAAATGGTAGGTTACCAATATGGACAGCACCCAGACACGTGATAGAGAACATAAATTTAGAGCAAAAGCAAGATAAGATTACATATAAGGAACTCCTCTATAAGGAAGGAGTTAGATTACAATTAAAATCTATGGAGCAATTAAGAGAAGAAGGGATTATTAAGACTTGGTTTCAGTATGGACAGTTGCTGGCCAGATGGAGAGAAGACCAAAAAACTGGTATTTTGCAGCAGGATGAGAATTTGATAAAGCAAATAAGAGATAAAGGTCAAATGCATATAAAAAGGTTGTATAATGCATTAGTGGAAATAGATTCAGAAACAGATTTAGTTAAGGACTGTATGATAAAATGGGCACAAAATGTAGGTGAACCAATAAAGATGGAAACATGGGAAAAGATATGGGTTAGAAATGTAAGATTTACACAAGCACAAAATCTAAGGGAGAATTTTTACAAGATGTTTTATAGATGGCATCCAAAAAAACTAGCTTGTATGTATCCAAACTTACAACCCAAGTGTTGGCGATGTGAGTGTGAAGATGCTACATATTTTCATATATGGTGGACATGTAAAAAAATTAAGGCTTTTTGGATAAAAATATGGTGGATTATTCAAAACATTTTGACGAAAAAAATTAAATTTACACCACAGTTCTTTCTGTTGGGAATAGTTACGGATTGTACTGTAATAGAGACTAAGCTGGTTTTGAATTTAATAACGGCTGTCAGGTTACTGGTGGCACAGTACTGGAAGAAGGAAGATCCACCTACCATTGAGGAATGGACATTAAAAGTTGTGCATTTGGCAGAAATTGTCAAAATTTCTATCTTATCTTAAAGACCATTCAAATGAGAGATATATATCGGAATGGAGAAGATGGATTGATTATATACAGAAGAAATATCCGAATAAGAAGATTCATATAGCTTATGAATGAAATAATTTTAAGTAGTTTATATCTGTTTGTTTGTTTGTTTGTTTTTGAGTTATAAGGAGTTAAGGACCTAGGGAGAATATGTAATGTAATAATTTGTTAGCATATTTTAGCTTTTGATTTGTGAATGCTATACCCTGTGCTTGTTCTGGGAAGTCTAGGGAGGGGGATGGGGGGGAGGGAGGGGAAGGAGGGGTGGGGGGGTGAAAATGTTTGTATTTTTTATAAAACTTTTCAATAAAAAAAAAAAAGAAAGAAAGAAAGAAAAAACGACCAGGAAGACCTCCCAGGCTGCTGCAGCCAGTAGCTGAACCGACAAGGCCATCGGAGGAGATTGCAATGGACTTCATAGTAGAACTGCCGAGAAGTGGTGGAAACACAGTGATCTGGACTGTAATAGACTTATTCTCCAAACAGGCACATTTCATACCCTGAGTGAGCTACCCTCAGCCTGCCAGTTGTCCAAACTGTTCCTGAAACACATCTACCGCCTGCATGGAATACCCAGAAGAATCATCTCCAATCGAGGTGTCCAGTTCACAGCAAAATTCTGGAGGGAATTCCTACGGTCCATAGGGTCATCCCAAGGCCTCAGCTCAGTGTTTCACCCGAGCACCAATGGGGGGGTGGAGAGACTGAATGCCATGATAGAGGTGCTACGTCGACTACCAACAGTCTAATTGGGTGGACCTCCTATCTTTTGCGGAGGTCGCGTATAATAATGCTGTCCACAGTAGCACAGGACTAACCCCATTTAAGGTAGTGAGTGATATGGATTTCGTCCCCATGCCAGAGTACCCAAGGGAGCCCCCTTCCTCAGTCAGTTTGACTGATTGGATGGAAATGTTGAAAGAAACCTGGGAGAACGTCAAGAAGGCATTAGCCAAGGCGGCACAATCCTATAAGAAACAAGCAAATAAGCACCGAACTCCCCAAAGACCATTCCGAGTGGGAGAGAAGATCTACCTCTCCACCAAGTATTTGAGACTCAGACTCCCGAGCAGGAAACCGGGCCCGAAATTTATAGGACCATTCCCTATAGTAAAAGTAATCAACCCTGTTACAGTACAACTGCAGCTGCCCCGACTACTAGGGAGGATACACCCTGTTTTCCACAGTAGCCTCCTGAAACCTGTGGTGGGGTCAACTTTAAGGCCGGTGCCATGTGACCCCCCCGGGCCCCTGGTCATTGGGGGCCATACTCACTATGAAGTACAGCAAATTCTCGATTCGAGGTGGCACAGGGATCATCTCCAATACTTAATCAAGTGGAAGGGTTACCCCTTGTCAGAGGCTTCCTGGGTGAAAAGCAGAAACATCCAAGCTGACCGCCTTATAGCCAAGTTCCATGCAGATCACCCAGGCAAAGCGGGAGGGGGCGGGACACACACACCCGGACAGGGTAACGGTACTTAACTTGTTGTTTGTCTTACACAGGCCACCCTGGAAAAATGAAGGGGGAGGGCCGGATGTCAGCTCTTCAAGCTGCATTTACTCTAATGCTGACACAGGAAGAAGAAGCGGAGGCATCTCGAAAGGGACGTTTGACTTTTCACCTACTTATTTTCCCTGGAGATAATATCCCCTAGGAGATGGGAGGGGAGGGGGGAAATTCCTTTGAGTTGGAGCAGTAGATAGGGGTAGAGTGACTTGGAAGATGGCCAATGAGTGCAGGGGAGTGGGGAACGGAAAGGGAGGGTTTTGGTCTGGAAGTCAGTGTTGGCTGCAATTGGAGTCGGATTCAGAATGTCGTGCTTAATAAATGGGAGTTTTACTTCAAAGACTTTGTTTGAAATGCAATTTATTTGAGACGACCTTGAAACCTGACACTTAATGATCCAGCTAGCAGGCTGTTAAAGTATATGTATTTTAAAGTTACCAGAATTGAAAAACACTGTGCTAGACAACGAAGCCCATGCCTAATCTCTTTCCCACATTAGCCAACATAGTATGTGAACAAAAAACACTTCCCACCCACAATGATGCTGACTCAAACCTGTGATTTCCATGCCCGAAGTTCAGTTTTATATTTATCCATTTTCATTTCATACTCTTCACTATATTCTTCTAGTAATTCAGCTGTTTCAGCCTGAATTTCTGCCTCATAGGCCTTCTCATCCAACTTCAGGTCAACTTCTTCCCTTCAAATAGTAATTAAAACCAAAGCCATAAATAAAAACAGTATTGGTGTATTACATTCTAACGTGTTGTATTTTTCACATGATCAATATTGTGGCTTCATTTAGAATGTGTGTGTGTGATTCTAAAAAATAGTGAGTGCAGCAAGTGGGAGAAATAAAAGCCAGAAAGGTTCTCTATCTCAGTTTCTATCATGGCTTCTATCATTTTTGCCTAACTTTCTTTTTTGAAAGAAGCACAAACATGAAATATAATTCCTTCAGTCCAATACATTTTATGTTGTCTTTTTTCCTCAAGAAATGCAATTCTTTCCTGCTCACTAATTCTTTATGAGGTACAAAATTAAGAGGCACCCCTTTCACTGTCCCTTTGGACATTCCTTCTTGCAAATGCTTGAAAGGAAACAAAAGGATTACAGAAACATTAATCAATTTCTTTGCCTGCAGGTGTCAGCTGTCTTTGATTGACTGACTGGCTGTTTATATCGTACAGGATACAAAGGATATATTTGCATGTTATCTAGATTATCCTAGATAACTATGAAATATTGTGAGAGAAGCAGTCCAAAAGGACTGAACTTGAAATCTTCTGTCTTCAAACAACTATTGAACCACACCTTCCATACTAGCATTTTATCCTGAGCTTGGAGGAAAATCAGGCATTTAAATCAAAGCTGTTTCAGGTATTCTGACATCCAACAATCAATTGTTTTCTTTTAAATTGTGCCCTGATGTCATATAGAAACGTATTTCTCAAACAAAGTTCCATCACTGCTGTATCTCATGAGGAGAAGAGTAGAGGGATCAATTAAACACACTTTACACAATTGAGAATCATTTCATATTGAAGAAAAGGACTGTTCTCTGCCTAACAGACAAGCATTTTGCTGCCATATTCTTTGGGAAGTTATAATTTGTGGCTGCAATGTTTTCCCCAGAGAGGCTGAGAAATGCAAACATATGCATGCCCATTATGGATATTCATAGAACATAGAACAAGACTATAAATCTAAGCAAACTATTTTTTTGCTCCTTTGCAGACAGCTCTCCATACATACATTGTTCCACTGTTGAAATATACAATACACAGATACACAAACAATTGCATATATACAAACAACTATTTTACTGGGTTTCTTCAACTTCATAAGCTGTTATAAGGACTGAACTTGAAATATTCTGTCTTCAAACAACTATTGAACCACACCTTCCATACTAGCATTTTATCCTGAGCTTGGAGGAAAATCAGGCATTTAAATCAAAGCTGTTTCAGGTATTCTGACATCCAACAATCAATTTGTTTTCTTTTAAATTGTGCCCTGATGTCACATAGAAACATATTTCTCAAGCAAAGTTCCATCATTGCCTCCGTTCTGTGGCAGTTTATACAACTGCCTATGGGGCAGATAGCATACTTAACTATTGCTTTTATTCAAATTCAGCCCCTTGGCCAATTTATTGGTGATTTGGATAATAAAGGAAATTCCCAGCCCAACCTGGGCAAAGCTGGAGAAAATTTTAACTTTTTATTCTGAAAAAGCATTCAGTCATGTAGCGCTCTATCTTTAAGCTACAATAAGGCAGAACTACAATTTATGACCACAATTAAGCCCTAAATTTATGTTGCCAAGTGAAAAATTTGTTAAGTGAGTTTTGCCCTGTTTTACAACTTTTCTTGCCATATTTGTTAACTGAATCACTGCAGTTGTTAAATTAGTAACACGGTTATTAATCTGGTTTTCCCATTGACACTGCTTGTCAGAAGATCACATGACCTTGGGACACTGCAACCAGGGGTGAAATCCAACAGGTTCTGGCAGGTTCTGGAGAACCGGTAGCGGAAATTTTGAGCAGTTTGGAGAACCAGTAGCGGAAATTTTGAGTAGTTTGGAGAACTGGGAAATGCCACCTCTGGCTGGCCTCCAAGTGGGATGGGAATGGAGATTTTGCAATATCCTTCCCCCAAGAGTGGGGAGGGAATGGGGATTTGGCAGTATCCTTCACCTGGAGTGGGGTTGGAATGGAGATTTGGCAGTATCCTTCCCCTGCCGTGCCCACAAAGCCACGCCCACAAAACCACGCCCACAGAACCGGTAGTAAAAAATTTGGATTTCACCACTGACTGCTACTATCATAAATGTAAGTTAGTTGTCAAGCATCCTAATGTAAATCACTGACCAAGAGGATGCTGCAACAGTCATAAGTGTGAAAATGGTCACACATCACTTTTTTCAGTGCCATAGTAACGTCAAACAGTTCACAAACAGGTAAGTGAACTACTTGTTTATCATCTCAATGAGATCCAAGCCTTAGATTTAAGTCAGAAGCAATGTATGCAGAAAAGCTCTAAATTTAATATATTAAATAATGTAATTCCTGCAAAAAGCATACTTTCTCATGAAGAGCTTCAGGGGTGTGTTAATAAACTTCTGAAAATCCCGCAGGAATTTTATTTCTTTCCACACTTTAATCATGGCTTTCAGCAATGCTCGATCTTTTTCTTGTTCATTATCGCGAAGTCTTCTTGTTTTCCTGCTCATGAATATAAACATTTCATTGCAGGGAATATACCAGTATACATTAATATACATCAAATAACGTTAGCAATATTGAAAAAATGACTATAATCACTCAGTTATAGTGCAGCAGGTCAGATTATCGAATCCCAAATCAATTAATAACCAGGTTGCCAAGAGGATGCACCTTACTTTTCTGGGAACATAATAAGGTCCCTGGGATAGTGGCAGGAAGCAATATAGGTGCAGTCATTTTATCTCTACAGAAGCATGGTGCCATCTTACTCAAGCAGAAACTACCAGTGAAGAAAAACTGACACTCCCTATTCTCACTACAGTCTCTATCTTATTTTGCCAATAGTTTCCCTGACAACTGGCAAAATCTTTAGGACCAAGCAAGATGTGGCCTTAATGCTTATAGAAGGCAGAGTATTGGATGCAACTGGGTCGGCCTGGATGGTTGGGCACAAACCAGAGCCGGGCACATTTCATTCCACTCCAGCACCATGGCCTAAAAATGAGATAAATCCACAAAGCCTCCCAGAATCCATGCTGGAGCCCTGCGGTCGTCGATCCACTGCCCTCAAGAACAACTTCCCTGTCACCCTCTTCCTCTTCCTCTTCCTCCGCTGGATTGGAGGCTGTGAAGATCTGGATGGGGGAAACCGTTCCACCTCAACCTAACAAAAAAAAGGTTTTGGCCCACCTGGGTCTTGAGAGCTATCATGCTTTATATCTTCTCTCAAGGGAGACAAAACCTCATCTTCTCCAGATCATTCTGTCTATAATTATGGTAGGAAATAAGTGAGCTTTCTCCATGATTCCCTTGCAACTTTCAAAAAAGAAGATCTGGCTGGCGGGGTGAGAGGGGGTCCAGGAGCTCTTTGGCTTTAGCCCAAGTGGCTGTGAAAGCCAAAGGCAGAAAGCAAGTTTTTCTGGCCTTGGAGGGCAGTGCTCATCACCTGCCCCTTCATTGGCTTGGCATCAAGCAGCTGCCACCACCCTAGGAGTGCTGAGTCAGACAAAGACAGGAGGAGCGATTAACAGGGTGCAAATAAAGCTGGGGTCCTTTCAGATCACCTGGGGAGGGAGGGTTTGAAAGAGCTCAAATCTCCAGCTACACTAAAAGCTCCATGGTGATGCTGGTGCTCTTATAATCTTACCTGAAGGAAGGCAAATAATGGGGGGATTTTGACATCTTCCTCCCCCCAGGGCTGAAAGAACATTCACTTCCCTCCTGCCATCCTCCCCACTTCTGAGAATTGCAAATTTGCACTGCTGCTGTGAGTTTTTCCATTCTGGTGCCAGAATCCCCCTTAAAAATAGTTTTCCAAGACCCCACCCCAGTGGTGGAATTCAATTTTTTTTACTACCGGTTCTGTGGGCGTGGCTTGGTGGGCGTGGCAGGGGAAGGATACTGCAAAATCTCCATTCCCACCCCACTCCAGGGGAAGGATACTGCAAAATCTCCATTCCCACCCCACTCCAGGGAAAGAATACTGCAAAATCTCCATTTCCTCCCCGCTCCTGGGGGAAGAATATTGCAAAATCTCCATTCCCACCCCACTGGGGCCAGTCAGAGGTGGTATTTGCCAGTTTTCCGAACTACTCAAAATTTCTGCTACCGGTTCTCCAGAACCTGCTGAACAGCACCCCTGCCCCACCCCTTCTCTTCCCTCAACTCTCAAATCCACCATGACTCATTGATTTCTATGGAAATTCATCCCACTTGGAAATGTCCTGCCCCGACCTCTGTCCCTTTGATCTCAATTTGGGGTGTCCTCAGTGCTCCCCCACCCCCAATGACATAAAGTCACCTCCTTAAGACTTCCCCTGCAAGCCTGTGTATATATGTTTGCATATTACCAAGATATATTTTTACAATGTGTTTCTATTCTCCAGGATCATTTTTACTTGCGATGTGTGCCTGCTGAATCCCCAGATCAATGCAAAAAGATTCTCAACTTGTGCATTCTTCTCCTTGGTGGGTGAGGAGGCCCTGCCCCATCCTACAAGCTCATAAAAAAAGAGGAGCCTTGGTTGGGGGCAGCCTCCAACCTCACCCCACTCCATGGATTTCTCATCACAGGCTGAAGTTCTTCACTGCCCACTTGACTTTCTTTCCTTGCAACAGGATAAGGGCAGCTTTCCAATCGTCCAGGTCTCCCTGCCCACCAATTTTGTCACTGGCATGTGACAGGAGTCCTTCTCCCTTCCCTTTTCTCCCTCCTGGCTCCCTGGCTGCCAACAAACTGAGGGCTGCCAACCTGCACCTCCTGGCATACCCAGCTTGTGACGGTCCCTCCCTGCCCACTGCACTGCTCACTTCCCCCAACCCACCCCACTTCTGCCTTTCACAATGGCTGTTGGGCTGAGACCAAGTAGCTCCCTGACCCACCCACCCCGCCAGCCTGATCTTCTGTTTATTTGGAAGTTGCAGGGGGATGATGGAGAAAGCTCAGTTTTTCACTCCCGCAGAGTTCTGTATAGACAGAAAGATCTGGAGAAGGTGAGGTTTTGTCTCCCTGGGGAAAAATATGAAACATCATAGCTCTCAAGATCCAGGCGGGCCAAAAACCTCCCTTTTGTTAGGGTTCAGGTGGAGCTGGTTCCTCCCCATCCAGTTCTTCATAGCCTACAGTCCAGGAGGAGGAGGAGGAGGAAGACGTGGAGGTGGAGGTGGAGAAGGAGGAGAAGGAGGAGGCAGACAATGGGGAAGTTGTTCTCGGGGGTTGTGGATTGACTGCCGCTGGGCTTCTGAGCAGGCTCCAAGAGGCTTCACAGATTTCTCTTCCTTTGAGGTTGTGGCACTGGTATGGGACAAAATGGTTCTTTCCTCTGTGTCTGGTTCCCAGCAGTTTAAGGAGGCGAGGAACTGGTGGGGTGCTGAGTTTTCCCCACATCCAGATGGCTAAGGTGACTTGTTCCACATTGACTTGGCTGTGCCCAGGAAGTAATGCCCACCCGGTGCAACCACCTGCCCATGCCCATCCATCCGTGCTGACCTGACCACATCCACTTGTTCAAGCCCACCCAGCCATGCTCCCCTATTTGTGTCAACCTGGTCACAATGCGTTGTCCTACACCCTCTCAGTTCTCCCATAGAAGGGAGAAAAGGGGGAAGAATATTCAGACTTGCAAGACTGTTACTATAACCTTACAATAATAGCAATATTGGCCTGGATGACTTTGGTTTCCTAATCTGGACTAACTGGAAAATGTGACAAGCTGTCCCACCTGATTTGTCTCCATAACACTTCCTTTTTCCTACCATTCTAGTTGCTCCCAGAAATGGCACATAAGAAAAGGACAATAAATAAAAGGTGTTTTATCATACCAAATGGGACTTAGACAAAGAGGGACTTAGAAGAGAGTCATAAACCTTCTGCTGGCTGACCATTATGTAATTTCAATTAAACAAAAAGATCTACCTTACAAAATAAATACTTGAAATACTCATGGAAAAAAGAGGTTCTTACGAAATTCCAATGACAACAGTTCATTTTATTAGAGCATGACTCAGTTCCTTTCCAAGAACCACTTTTTCAGCTGGATAACTTTTTTAAACTTACAGAATGAATAATAGAGCAATTATTAATTTACTCACCTTATTTCAAGCTTATATTCAGTTATGCTTTGTTGGACTACTAACTTTGGAATTTCACTTTTGGCAGTATCCAAAATATTTTCTAAAGAATTTCTAAGAGCACGAAGCTAGAAAATAAGCTTATAAATATTAGTATGATTTGTTTGCACCACCATATGAAATCATTATATTTCTGTATTTTTCCTTATTACTAGCAACATCGATAGACCTGCTTTTCTATGAAAATGCCAGAAGCATTCTCCAAAATAAACCTAGGAAGAACATGGAAAATATGATTTTTTGATTATTTTTCAATATTTTTGTCTCGCCCTTATAGTTGCTTTTATTTTAAATTACATTCTTCCCAATCCTGAAGTCCAAGATTTATAATTCTAACCAATGCATCCATCAATCAAATACCTAAAAGCAAAGAAGATTATGAAGAAGATTCATACAAAGCAAACTTGGTGTTTAAATCTTTTCAGAATTCAATCTTAATTAATATCTACTGTTCATTTGAGAGTTTACATGAACTTATTTTAACAGCAGCTCAAAGATTGAATATTCAACATATATCACTTTAGAGGACAGGATATGTATTATTATGTTTCAGCCCATGAAGTTGTGGGACCCAGCACAAAAAACTGGACAGCCATTTGTCTGGTGGAATGAGACTATTGGCAATGTCCATTTCTCTCCCAGCTCCCCACTACAACTGACCCAGTGGCCTTTCATTCTCTGCTGGTCCTCTTCTCTCACCAATGGCCCCTTACCCCTCCACACCTGGCCCTTTATCCTGGCTGATTCCCCGAGTCACGTTTTTACCCAGGTGATTTGCTGCATGGGACAAGTAGCTGCGCCTCCCGGCAGCCAATCCAGCATTGCATGGCTGCAGATGGCAGTGATGCAGAGGCAATGGGGGGCAGTGGGCATTGGGGAGATGATGGGTGGCTGGATGGCAAGTTATTGCAGTTGGGCAACGGGCGATTGTGGAAGTGCTGGAGAAGGGGAGGTGCACTTTTAATTTTTCTTCACCATTTAATGGTTTTTCTCTCCTCATCCAACCTGCTCCAAATTCTCAGTTTTCTTAAATGAAGGATGATTGTGATGCAGGGACCATGTTTTTAGGATGGCACATTCATTGCTGTGGCAGGACAGGAAAAAGATCTTTCCACTTGGGAGAAAATCAGGGGTGAAATGCTATCGGTTCGGACCAGTTTGATAGAACCAGTAGCGATGGTGGCGAGTGGTTTGGAGAACCAGTAGCAATGGCAGTACGAGGCTCCACCCAACCAGTCGTCATTACTTCCTGGTTTTACTTCCTTTAAGCAGGAAGTAAACTGTTTTTACCCTCTGCGCATGCCCTGTGCATGCACTTCTGAACCTGTAGGGAAGGTAAGTAGATTTCACCCCTGGAGAAAATGTTTGGGGGGAGGGAGAAGGGAAGGATCATGAAACACCTTGACTGTTATTTCAAGAAGTCTTACAGCAGGGGTGTCAGCATCAGCATTATGGTTGCCCTCAAAGGACCACAAGGCCAAAAGAGGAGAGCTGGCACCCACAGTGGGCAGTGGACAGGACCTGGCCCATGGGACAAAAGGTGGGGATACAGGAGTATGGGGCAGCATGAGCCAAGCATCGATGGGGGCTGGCTCCAGGTCACCCTTTCCGCTGTGTGGCAGGGCCGGAGTGGGGAATGAGGTACTCACACCAGATGCAGAGCTGCAGTCTGGAATGGCCAGGTGCCTAATGATGCACAAGCCACCCCACAATCCTGAGATCACCTGGCTTATTTTATTATATATTATTTAGAACATAGAACATAGAATAATAGAATTGGAAAGGACATCAGAAATCTTCTAGTCCACCCCCTGCTTGAGCAGAAGACCCTATACCATTTCATCTTCTTTCCTTCCTTTCATTAGACATACCCAATTCCTGCAACCATTCTCCATGTAGTGGATAATATCACAGCTAAGCTAATAACTCAGTAAACTTTGCCAAGGACAAGTAGTTAGCAGTATATAATTTTTATCTAATAACAGAATAAGGTTTTCTGATATTCAATCGCAAACATATTTTAATATTTGCATATTTTTCTATAGACATAAAGACTTCTGCATATTCTACAAAAAAAAAATGATTTCTATTTTATTGACACATTTGCAAACTGAAGAAAAGTATCGAAATTACCTTATCTGTAAGGAGTTTAGTAACATTTCTCTGTTTCCTGGAGAGATACTGATCAAATAACTGAGCCAGTTTTGCTGCCAGAATATGTTCACGGCTAAAGCAAGGATGATGTGTGAATATTAATCCTGAAATGTCAATATCCAACTGAAAGCAACTTTGTGGGTCATCATTTCCAACGATGTACTGGTTGGCAAGTCTCATTTTTAGAGCCTAAAATAAAAATTTAAGCAACTACATTCACACAGAAGTATGATAGAATAAGATTTCAGAGAAACATATAAGAACTGGATCATACATAATCAACTAATTTGGAGGCTTTTCTTTTCAGCACAAAGTATGAGCCTTTGGCTCATTTTACATATAACTGAGATTAACTATACCAAAGACTAACAAACCAGGAATAAATATCACTTAATGCCTAAGGATAAGTTAAATAGAATGTGGAATTGACTCCACATTTATCAAGAACTTCTTCATTTTTCATGTTTTATTTACTTTATTTGAATAACATATAACAATTTGTTGTCTGAGTACAGTTGTTTTTAGGCAATAGTAATCAAAATGTTTACAATAAAATTTATCATAACATTGATACTATAATAACAATAATATTTTGTCTATTTTATCAAATTTCCATTTTGACATTTATCCTTTTTATGTCCCTGCATTTCTAACTTCTGTTTTTACTGTCTAACTAATGGTAAAATAAGTCCCATGTCAAAAAGTATTCAGTTTCTTCTTTGTCCTTAATAGTAAGCGTTAGTCTATCCATTTCTGCACATTCTAATATTTTCTTTATTACACTCTCATCTGTCAGAATCTCGCCACACTTCCATTGTTTGTTTGTTTTTTAATTTGATTTATATGCCGCCCTTCTCCGGAGACTCAGGGCGGCTTACAATGCATTAAGCAATAGCCTTCATACTTTTGTATATTTATACAAAGTCAGCTTATTGCCCCCACAAACTGGGTCCTCATTTTACCTACCTTAGAAAGGACGGAAGGCTGAGTCAACCTTGAGCCTGGTGAGATTCGAACTTACAGTAATTGCAGACAGCTGGTGTTAATCACAATGCTTTTAGTCTGCTGAGCCACCAGGCTCATTGTTGAGCATATACAATTCTAGCTGCAGTTAATACATGTAAAATCAAGTATATAGTCCCTTTGTCATATCTTTCCGGCAGAATGCCCAATAAAAATATTTCTGGTTTCATGTCTATATGCTGTTTTATCATTTTTCCAACCAAGTATGTATTTTTGTCCAATATTTTTTGGCTTTTGGACATGTCCACTACATATGGTAATAAGAACCAAGTATTTGGTTGCATTTCCAACATTTAGCAGATCTATCCTTAAACATTTTTGCCAGTCTTGTTGGTGCAAAATAAAACATGTTATACAAATTTTCTTTATATGCAGTTGACATAGTCAATTTAACATTTCTATCCCACAATTTCTGCCATTTTTCTAGTTCTAGTGCATATCCAAAATTTTTAGCCCAAACAATCATGTCTCCTTTACCTGCTCACTTTCAAGTTTGATACCTAATAAGTAACAATATATTTTCTTTATCAGTTTTTCATCCGTTCAGGTTAATATTTGGTCCAATTCTGTTAATTCTTTATTGAAACCATACATTTTAGCATCTTTCTCATATCAAGATTGTATCTGCATTTGTGGTCACCAGGCAATGTCCATCCCTTGATGGACCAAGCTCCTGCTTGGTTTTTAATTCCCCTTTTTCATTCAAAATATCTTTATATCTTATAATTTTTTCCATGTTAATAACATTAGGATGTATCAATGCTTCCATTGTGGAAAGCCAGATTGGTATTTTCAAGAACAGTTGTTCTTTAATTTTAAGTCATATTGATAGTGCATTTCTAACATAATGTCTTTGAAAGTAACTATGTATCTGATTCTTCCCATACTATAAAAAAGGATGGCAATCTAGTTGAAGGTCATGTTCTTCTAAAGTTAATAGTCTTTTATGCCTCAGATTGATCCATTCTTTCACCCTGAGCAAGCCACTCAAATGGATCCTTCTCTGTGGGGCGAAGCCGTGGGAGCCATGCCATTTCAGGAGATGTCGACCAGGTGATGCTGCAGGAACAGCAGATGGGAGCGAGCAGAGCGGAGCGGACCCAAGCTCTCAAATGGAGAGCAGTGGGACCAGCTGATCACAGCAACTCCCAAGAGGGGGTTTTCCCACCACCATCGTACAGCCAGTTGCTGGTAGGCCTACCGGAGCAGTTCGGCCAGCTCAGCATGGGCAGCAACGCACAGCCTCCTGGTACTGGCCCACCCAGATGGATTCTGGCTCAACCCACATTCACCTTTCTTGGCCAGAAAGCCGCAGCAGCAGCGAGTAGAACGTCTACCTCCTTTCACTTGGCACGAAGCGGATCGCATCACAGCCTCACACATCGGGCCGGATCTACCGGAGTGACAGCCCTTGCTGGAATCGGAATGGTGCAGCAACAAAGCCCGTTAAGCCAATCCAGTCCGGTGCTACAAGGACCACAACTGGGTCTGTTGGGACCCAGCACCCCACCTTAGCAACCGGTCCTCAGATTGTCTCCAGCCGATCAACTCTATCCTAGCTGGGCTTTCTACCCTGGCCAGGGGTGAGTGCAATACCAATGGATGCCAGCTCGAGTCCTGCAGTCTGCGCTGGCCCAGCAACCAGTGCAAGTACACTGGTCATGATCCTGCTGCCGGTACCGGTCTAGCCGCCGATACTGGCTCAGCAGCCCACACCGGTCCCGTAGCCAGCCCCACAGCCAGTCCCGCCAGCCACTTCCTTGCCGCAATTTAGAATGACATTTGATGGGACCCCAGGAAAGCTGGAATACTTCCTCAATCAGGTCTGGGCCCACGTTGAATGTTATGGGGACCAATACCCAACCGATTGCAGATGGCATGAATGAAGGAGAGGTGGCGGAGTTGATAGCTGTGCTACATGATGAGGGAGCCCCGGAGCTAGACAATGCGGATGAATTTCTCCAACTGCTCCAAGGTCATTTCAAGGACACGATCCACTGAGTAGAAGCCGAAGCCCAGATTAAAGCCTTGAAGCAAGCGGGTCGGCCTCCCAAGGAATTAGTGTGGGAATTCTGAAGGCTGGCTGGAAAGCTGAGGGACTGGCCTGAACGCCTCCTCATTTACCACTTCAAAGAAGCCCTTGACCCAGACCTCAGACAAGCTTGCGGCATCAGGGGAGTCCCGGAATGTATACAAGTCTGGTACAGCACAGCAGTGGCCATGACCTGGAGATCCACCCCCAGAGGAAGCCAATTGCAGAGAAACCAGCAAGAGGACCCCTGGGCTGCCAAACCCCAGCTAAACCACCTGAAGCACCACAGCCCACATCTTCCGGGACGATCAAGTGCTACTGGGGCAGCCAGCATGGACACAGAGCATCTGAATGCCTGGCTCCTGCCCTGGTCCCTCAAGCCCAGACCCCCTCCGCACCCCAGGGGAGAAGCCTAGAAATGGGCCGCCACCGAGAACTCATCCAATTTGTCATAGCTCCCAAAATGACCGAATCAATCATATTGGGCCTCGCATGGTTAGACAAATGGGGACCGACCATCATGTGGGAAGATGGCTATAGAAAACTAAAAATAATAGGACTTCCGGTTGACATCGCTGCGGGAACAGACTGGAAAATAGTGGGCTCTGATGAGCCCCGCGAAATTCAGCCGGATAAACTGCTACCAGGAGGCTTTCGAGCCATAGCTGTCTTGTAGGGATGGTAAAGAAAGGAGAGGCATTTCATGGACCGCAAGAAATCAGCAATTTCCTCACTGGAACAGAAACAGCTCTCCCGATTGGCAGCGGGGGCAGCAGCCATCTTTTGGTGGCCACCTTGAAGCTGGGACAACCAGACCGAAGAACTGAGCAGGAGCAGTGTTTGGACAGAGTGCTAGAACTGGATGAGATAATTGCCAATTTATATTAAAAAGAAAAATTGAAATTGGAGCTTTAAAGAAATCCCTGAGCTTGGATTAGTGGCTATCTGGCACTCGGCGGGCGGATGGGGGGGGACACGACACGTATGCAGGGGGGAAAAGTGGGGATTGTAACACAAAAAGCCTAAAAAGAAGTTTTACATTTAGAAAATTGGGCAAAGTAAAAAAATTTAAAAGGAAAAAAAAGTGATTTTCGGAAGAAAACAACATTTTCTATGACTACCTTAAAATCTTTGGATATTTCGACAATTAACTGGTTTTAATAAACTATCTTGTATGGACCAGAAATGGAGAGTGCCATCTGCTGAAGGAAAGAAAAAGTACTGTAATACTCTATTTAAATAGACAAAACAGAAGAAGTAACAGCTGGAAGACCCAACCTTGGCCATATAGAAGAAGATAATTTGGACTCTGTGAGACCATTTAAGAGTGACTGTTTTGCATCTGGGTTTTTGTTACATTTCCCCTCTCTCTTGGAAGATAGACTTTTAATTGGATTTGATTATTGCTGCACTTGGACTATTAATAATTGAGATCATTTTACTTCTAAAGAAAAGAGGAATAATTGAAGAAGGAAAGAAGAAAACAGGAGAAACAAGGAAATTAAATAGACTCTAAATTTTGGCTAATTGTAAAGAGATATAATTGGGGAGGTTTCAATTTTTTTTTTAATTGTTACAAAATGCAGATGTATGAAGAGCTGTTTTTGATGTTTAAAAATAGATGTGAATCTTTAATAGGCAAAAAAGAAACAGAAAATTTGTTGAAATATATAGAAAAACAAAGTGAAGAGGATTTTGAAAAGGGAAACTTAAACCAGATGCAAGAAGTTAAAAATATAGAAGAGAAAGCATTAAAAATAAAAATCAGGTAGACAATATCACATAAAATTTTTGTAATGTAGAAAGAGTGGAGAGGAAAGGGGGAAAATCTCCTCTAAAAAAGAAACAGTTAAAAGGAAAAAAGAGAAATATTTGGAAGAGACAAGAGAAAATCTTGGTGAGGGATGTTCAAACAGTACAAAAAGGAATTCAAAAGATAAAATGTAACACATATAAAAATAAAAAAGAGAATTGAGAAGTTAGAACGAGATAAAGGGTTGAGCAAAAAAGCATTAGAAAATGAGACGCCAAAAGATAGAGAGATGATGGATAAAGATGAAATGATGATGGGGTCAATATTAGTAAATATATATAATAAGGTAGATCAGTGAATGGGAATGGGGAAGTAGACAAT